TGAAGAGTCTGACGACCCAGACTAGGAACAAGGTTTTTGTAGTGATGTCGATACAACCACGAGGGATGGTAATGACGAGACAGTAGACCCCACCTGGGCCAATCTAGAGCTAGAAGAACCATATGAGCTTGATTCTGAGCCTGAAAGGATCGAAGTCGGCGCAGTTTACCCTTCATATGATGCACTGAAAGAAGCGGTGGCGAGAGAAAACATTCGTCAATTTCGTCATTTCCATTCGCTAGACAAAAGGGCACGGTCTTGGAAGGCGATTTGCATTGACCCGACTGTTTGCACTTGGCATATCCAAGCAGCAGAAGGTATGTATTCAACAAAGTGGAAAGTAAAAAAATATCAACCCCATCACAGTTGTAGGGAGGATCCTGTCACGGCTAGGGATGATAAGATCCTAACGGCCAAGCTCATAGCGAGTGAAATCGCTCCAAAAGTGAAAATCGACCCGGACTACAACATTAAACTGATAATCTCAGACATATATGAAAATTTTCATATCAATGTTTCGTACAAAAAAGCTTGGAATGGACGCTTGATCGCTCTGGAGTGCAAATTCGGCAATTGGGAGGCCTCGTATAATGAACTTCCTGTGTTGTTGCAAGCTATACAGTTTTCAAATCCGGGGACGGTTGTTCATTTGCAATCACAACAGGTCGGCGGTCCTGATACGTCTGAATTCCGTCGTGTGTTCTGGTCATTCAAAGCTTCTATAGACGGATTCAGATTTTGCTTACCCGTAGTCTCGGTTGATGGGACTCACTTGTATGGCAAATACAAGGGTGTTCTTCTAGTAGCGGTAGCCATGAACGCTAACCGTGAGATATTTCCTCTTGCATATGCTGTTGTTGAGAGTGAGAATGCTGACAGTTGGTCGTGGTTCTTTGGTTGGGTTATGCGTGATGTGGTTGGAAGTCATCGTAGTGTGTGCATTATCTCCGATCGTCATGCAGGAATTGAAAGTGCATTTAGATCCTTGCCAGAGTTGAGATCGCCACAAGTTTCAAAGCGTTATTGCCTCCGTCACATACGGAGTAATTTCCTGACCAAGTTTAGAAACGCGGAACTGAAAAAATTGTGTTGAAAAGCTGGTAGCACTCCCACAGAACAGGAATTTCACGACTGTATGGAACAAATACGAGGCATAAATGAGAGTGCCTTTTTGTATTTGAATGAGATTCATGTTGAGATGTGGGCCCTGAGCTATGACGATGGCAAAAGATATGGTATTTTGACGACAAACCTTTCAGAAAGTTTTAACAATGTCTTAAAGGGATGTCGCACATTGCCTATCACAGCACTAGTAAAGGCCACATTCGATAAAGTCGTCCAACTATTTGCTGATCGACGAAATGCGGGAATAATGTGGCACCAAGCTGGATTCTTGTATCCAAATAACATCTGGAAGGCTGTTCTAGAGCGATCACAGCGTAGGTATCACACAACTATTGTCCCGCACAATTTCACATCGGGGATTTACTCTGTAGCTATTAGTTCGCATGATCCAGTGAAAATCGATCTGACAAGGCAAGAATGTAGGTGCGGGTATTGGAAGCAGAATGAGCTGCCATGTGTTCACGCATATGCGGTTTGTCGGTTTTTAAAAATAACCGTACATGCATACATCCCAGATGTGTATTCGTTAAATGCGTACATCCGGACGTACGCTTCTGATATTATGCCTATTAATAATTACGTCAATGTCATGGCAGAAACACAACATACACTTCTCCCGCCCACAAACATCAGATCGGCTCAAGCCGGTAGGCCACAGAGAACTCGATTTCCCAACGAAATGGATTTGCATGCTACGCGTAGAGGAAATGAGTAATATTGTATTGTATACCTTTCTGAATTTTTTGTTTTGCATCCAATTTGTAATGAAATATTTGTTCCCTTTTTCGGATCTGTTTCATTGTATGTGACGTTTTTGTTCAGATTAAATTCACATAAATATAATGAGATAAATTTTATCAGATAAAACTAATCTGATGAAATCAAGCAGATAAAATTTAATAAGATAATTTCAATAACATAAAATTTAATCACATAAATATAATGACATAAATTTTATCAGATAAAATTAATCCGATGAAATTAAGCAGATAAAATTTAATAAGTTTAATAAGTTTAATACTCCCACCTACCTCCACAAACAAACACACTCCCACTATCCTATCCATAAACAAACACACTATACCTCCGTATAACCATCTCACGCTCCTAACTTCAGAAGCACGCGGATTACCATCTAACGGCTCCTAACTCTTCAACGAAGCACGCGGATCACCATCTAACGGCTATCCTCTAGTCGGAAGTGGCAAATCCGACAGGGTGTTTTTAATATTTTTTTTTGAACTCCTGTCGGAACTGTGCAATCCGACTAGGAGGAGTCTGACCGGCCCTATGTAAGTACATCAGACATTGAGTGATTGGAACATCATTACTCAATCATCTCAATTTTTTCTCATATTTTTCATTCCCAAGCATCCCTATTCAGAAGCTCATCTACCCTTTGTTTTCATCTCAAGGTTAGTTAAATTCCAGTTTTAGGAGTGTAGTAGTAGTTAATTTTTTTATGTGTAAATTTTTAATTTATATAGTCAAATTGGATTGTTAGTGTAAAATTTAGCTATAAAATATACTGGAAATTTAGAGAGTGTGTTACATTTAGGAGGTTAGTTAAATTTCGGTTTTAGGAGGGTAGAAGTAGTTAATTTTTTATGTGTAAATTTTTTATTTATATTGTCAAATTGGACTGTTAGTGTAAAATTTAGCTATAAAATATACTTGAAACTTAGAGAGTGTGTTACATTTAGGAGGTTAGTTAAATTTCGGTTTTAGGAGTGTAGAAGTAGTTAATTTTTTATGTGTAAATTTTTAATTTATATTGTCAAATTGGACTGTTTAAGTCACTGTAATACCACTACCAGTAATTAATATAAAATTTAGAACGAATTTAGAGTATTGTTAGTTGATTTTTGCATTTTGTAGTTAATATTGGGAAAATTATCAATTAGTTGTTAAAATTGGATTTTTAACGCATAAATTCGTGAAAAATTCCAGAAGGTTATATTTTTAGTGATTACAAGTTTATTTTGCCATAATATAATTTTTGTTTAATTGTTTGTTATCATACATGTTTAATTCCTTGTCAATGTTGAATATATTCATTATATTGTTAAATGCAAAAATAATGTTTAGTAGCTATATTTGTTTTGGGCATGAATTGACTAAAGGAATATGGGTTGACTTGGTTGACCGAAAATTAGGGGTTAAAATTAATAATTTGGACTAGTTGTTTAAAATGATGAAATAGTAATTAATAATTGTTAGCCATTTTCATTAATTAAATTCTTGGAAAATTATTTCTAACTTGTCTATGAGATTAGAAAATAATTTGAGCCAACCATATTTGAGTAACATTGTGAAATTGGACTTTTAGAGTAACATTTAGCTAGAAAGTACTTGAAACTTAGAAAATGTGCTACATTTAGAAATAGCCTTAAAATTCAATTTAAAGAGTGTACAAGTAGTTAATTTTATAATTTGTGAATTTTTAATTTAGATTGTGAAATATGACATTTAGAGTTAGATTTAGCGATAAAGTACTAGAAACTTAGAAAATGTGCTACATTTAGAAATAGCCTTAAAATTCAATTTAAAGAGTGTACAAGTAGTTAATTTTGTAATTTGTGAATTTTTAATATAGATTGTGAAATTGGACTTTTAGAGTAACATTTAGCTATAAAGTACTTGAAACTTAGAAAATGTGCTACATTTAGAAATAGCCTTAAAATTCAATTTAAAGAGTGTACAAGTAGTTAATTTTGTAATTTGTGAATTTTTAATATAGATTGTGAAATTGGACTTTTAGAATAACATTTAGCTATAAAGTACTTGAAACTTAGAAAATGTGCTACATTTAGAAATAGCCTTAAAATTCAATTTAAAGAGTGTACAAGTAGTTAATTTTGTAATTTGTGAATTTTTAATATAGATTGTGAAATTGGACTTTTAGAGTAACATTTAGCTATAAAGTACTTGAAACTTAGAAAATGTGCTACATTTAGAAATAGCCTTAAAATTCAATTTAAAGAGTGTACAAGTAGTTAATTTTGTAATTTGTGAATTTTTAATATAGATTGTGAAATTGGACTTTTAGAGTAACATTTAGCTGTAAAGTACTTGAAACTTAGAAAATGTGCTACATTTGGAAATAGCCTTAAAATTCAATTTAAAGAGTGTACAAGTAGTTAATTTTGTAATTTGTGAATTTTTAATATAGATTGTGAAATTGGACTTTTAACATTTGAGTTCAAAACCTGTGAATTTATAAATTGTGCTCAATTTAGATTTAGAGTTAAATTTCAAAATTAGTAATTTATAACTACTTATTTCAGGAATTTCAAATGGACCAAAACACTCCGCGCCCAGGGCCTATTAACCAGTCACTACTCACGTTGCCACTTCGTGCCCATCGTGCAGACCGTGTATGGTATGAACCAGATTCCAAAGACTCGTGCTTGAAATGTGTCAGTTGCCCTTCAGCTGCATTCGGATGTGAAGCGCGAGATGAAAGGGTGATAAATATGTTAGCATATGCTGGGTTCTTGGGGGTAGAGCACATTGCCCGTATGAAGGTGGATCATAATTTAATATGCGCGTTGGTGGAGAGATGGAGGCCGGAGACACATACTTTCCATCTTCCATTCGGTGAGGTCGGCATTAGTCTACAAGATGTGGCGGTGATCCTTGGTTTGCCCATTCGGGGTATGCTCCTCAGTGGTCCAACCATTAGGGGTAAGGATCAGTGGATCGACCTGTGCACTCAGTCGTGTGGTTTCACTCCTCTACAGACTGATATGCGCACGAGTGATATCACTATGAGTGCTGTTACCCGTCACCGGATCGTAGATGACAGTACAGATGAAGAGGTCACCCAACACACCAGGACTCTAATATGGCAATTGCTTGGAGGGTTTTTGTTCCCTGACACGAGTGGGGCAAGAATACGATTGTACTTTTTGGAGGTCTTGCAGGGTGACTTGGCTTTAGCCCGTCGCTGGAGTTGGGGATCAGCGGTTCTCGGGTACCTCTACCATAACTTGTGCAACGGCGCGATGTGGGAAACCAAACAAGTTGGCGGTTGTATGCACTTGTTACAGATTTGGGCTTGGTCGAGGATTTCGATGGTCCGTCCCTCAGCACTTCAGGTCATTCAACATGGCCATCTTCCATATGGGTGCAAGTATGTTGTCAATTACATCTTAATAATTGAGAATGCTTTACATGACGTTACATTTTTTAACTTCATATCGGTAATCAATAAATGTAGGTGGATCGTCCCCAAGTCATATAAGGGATCCCCAAGACATTGCATACGCTTGTACCGGGATGACCTAGACCGCATGACTGAGAGTCAGGTAGTACATAAAATTTTTACTTCAACCGTACTATTCAGCCTTAAAATACACTATTTTTTCTAGTTTTTAAATTGCAAATTAAACTTTTTACAGTTTGATTTCACTCCCTACGCGTCCGAGATGCTCCCGCCTCTCATCCTTAATGATGCTCCGCTTTGGTCGGCTAGAGTCATGCTCATATTTTGCAATATGGCCGAAATGCATTACCCGGATCGATTTCTTCGGCAGTTCGGTATAAGGCAAGACATTCTGAATGCTCCTTTGCCGGGTACTGATCATCACGGATCTCGTTCCAACATAGTGATCGGTGCCTTGGCGATGTGGGCGGACATACAACATAATATATACGTTCTTGATTATGATCGATATATGTCCCTCGAAGCAACTAAAAGGTACCGAAACTGGTACAAGAAGCATGGTATGACACGTGTCCAGAACCCTTCTCACAATGTGCCCACGACAGGCTACACCCCAACAGCACACGATTGGGGTATTGTGGTAAGTTTTTGAATACATACCATATTCGCTACCATATATCGTGTCATATTATTTACACGTGTTACATTTTTATGTAGAAGCCAAGCGTTCACGGGGTGTATCAGCTCTTAGCCGATCGCGCGAGTTATGAGGATTGTCAAAAACGATTACGGCAGATGGCCCTGGATGTAGGTGATGAAGATATGCTCCACCGGGGAATATTCCACTATGAAGATGAAGATGCAGGTGGAAGTGACGAAGAGGATGATTCACATGAACGTGAAGATGGGGGTGAGGATTCACAAGCGCCCCCTCAATTCTCAACACAGGGTGTCACATTTGATCAACCACCCCCTCAATTCTCAACGCATCAAGGTGGGTCATTTGATCAACCACCGCCGTGTTATGATTCTTATCAGTGGTCCACATGCACAACCTGATGATTATGTTGAGTCATTTCTGAATTCGTCTTTTTACTATGGAGACACAACGGGGGCTTGGAACACTGGCGGTGGGGATGGAGCAGGGCCGAGCACGCAACATTAGATGTAGTATTAAATTTAATTTTATATGTACTGTCTATTCATTAATAAATTATATTGAAAACTACATTTGTTTTGTTCACTTCCATTAAAATTATAAAAAAAAATTCACGTAAAACAAAATGAAATTTTTATCTAATTAGACGAATGGAGTAAATCAAAATTGCACTTAAAATTACAAAAATTGCAATTAAAACAAAATTCACAATACAAATGGATTAAAAAACAATTTAAAGCAATCAATTGTTTTCTTACTAAAAAAATCATAATGCTAAGTTTTCATTTTAAAAAATATGTCATGAATCTAAAAAAAAAATTAAATTTGGAATTGATATAATTTAGCCGTAACACTTTTATTTTTTTTCGAACTCAAAATCAAAAACAAAATTCGGAATTTTTTTTTTCCCTAGTCGGAATTGGGTAATCCGACCAGGGGGAGGAATTTTTTTTTCCTTTTTCCCGAAACCCTAACTAATTGGAAATCAAAAACAAAATTCGAAAAAAAAATATATTTTTTCCCTAGTCGGAATTGGGTAATCCGACTAGGGGGGGAGGGAATTTTTTGGCAACCCTAACTTCTAGTCGGAATTGGGAGTTCCGACTCCCTTGTTTGGCAACCCCAACCCCCTTTTCCCGTTTTTCGGTAAATCACCCAGGTTACTGATTGATACTGTTGTTGTTGGGTAGATTAATACGGTGGAGAATAATTTTAATTAATGGGTTGGGTGGGTTTAGTTATTACGGTATTATTTTAGTTAATAGGATTAAGATGTGTATCAAACTATTTAATTATTTTTTAATCTTGTTATTAATCATTGATTTCTTTTATTAATAATTGTTATTAATTCGTTCAATAAAAAATAATTGTTATTATTTTTTATTAATTAAGTTTATATAATTCATTATTACTTCTAATTATGAATTGTGAATGTAATAATTTTTTGAGTGTGGTTGAGTTCCTTTTATTGGGGCATGGCCTTTATCTAATTTAAGATGTGTACCAATTTTGGATTTATATGTATATATGTATATATGTATATATTTTTTAAATAAATGTTTTTTAATTAAAATTAATGAATTTGTCTTTTTTTGCTTTTATTCTGCAGAGAACGTTGACGATAGAGTCGATAGTCAGCATTTTTCTCAACTTGTGGGAATCAGCTTCAGTTCTTCTAAATGCACAAGATCAATTGCAATAGAAGGAATCTCTAATATTTTCATTATGAACACTTATTATTTTACTTACTACTTAGCACTTTCAAATGTTATATCTCTTTTATAATATTTAAATTTTTCTTTCTTCGACGATGTTTTAATCTATCTTTAACTACGAACACATATTATATTACGTACTAACTACTTTGAGTTCAATTATTTTTACGATTGTATAATTGACTTCTTAATCACACATTAATAAATTTTCATCCGTGCATCGCACGGGTGAGAATCTAGTTTAAACATAATAGTATGATTTTATGAATTTGAATATGATTATTAACGAACCGAATACTTGTCGAATCATTCGAGCACGAGCCTATTAACAAGTATCACCTAAAATTTTAAATTCGAACATATTTATCGAGCGCTCGGTTCGGACATCGAACGCCTATCGAGCCGAACACGAGCCTCATTTGTAAAGCTCGCCGAGTTTCGAGCTCGAAACTGAACACCACTAATTCCTTATCGAGCTGAACTCGAGCTTTGGCGGTTTGGGTCCGGCTCGGTTCGTTAACAGCCTTATCTCGAACTGTCAAACACTAGTTTTTCATGTGAAGCTTATTTAATGAAACCAGAAATGGCTCCCCATTTAGAGGTTAGGAGAGGTTGATAAGAATGGCATGCGCACATAGAGCTCAATTTTAATTTGCATCACAATTTGTTCAAACAAGGATGAAAATAAAGAAAAGTGTTTCCTGCTGATGATCCCCTCTTGCAAATTTATATGTAAATACATTTTTTAATAGAAAACGTTAACTTATGGACCTTTGCCAAGTTTTTTGACTTCCTAGCTTATGAAAAGAGAAAGTTCCCAAAAAAGAGGAAATAAGTTTTGGAATTTCTAAATAGGATTGCTATATTTTTAGTGTCAGCTTGTAGACATTACCCCAAATGGTTGCGGTACTATGCATTGAATAGTGCATTATTCGCTATCATTAATGACTATGTTTTGATCATGGCATTTCAATTATGGCAATAATAATTTATATTTCAGAAACAAAAGCATAGCAGTCAAGAAAATTGTTAAATACTCTATACTATTACGAAAAAGTCAATTAAGACCTCCAACACAACTATCATCCAATTAGACCCACAAACTCATGAAAAAATTAAATAAGCTTATAAGCCAATAATCTCTCAGTTCCCAGGTAAACTGCACGTACATGTGGACTGTGAATTAAATCCTACATTTGGACATATCAAGAACATAACAAGTTCAGGACTGTGAATCAAATCCTACTTAGAAAATCCGGCCGGTGACAACAGTTGCTGCCAGGTCCCAAAATGGGTTCACCCGTAGTTGTAGTTGAAATCTGATTCTTTTAATCATATATAAAAAGCCTAAACGAATCCACAAATCCAAGTTCCCGTCATTTTTGTCTCATCTTGAACTCGATTGTTTTGTTGTTAGGAAGATCAAGCGTTGAAATCCTTCAATAGTCAAGAATCAAAATTGATCGATATACTAGAGATAAATATCAAAATTGGAAAACGCCATATTCAACGAGGCAAACTGCGTGCCTCATGAAATGTCCAGTTTCAATTTCTTTTTTGGTCCTACAAATATATATTGTTGTGTAATGGGTAGATAAATTTGCATAATGTTAGTTAAAACAGAGAAAACAAAATTAATATGACAAAATAGTTATTTCACACAAAAGACAGGCCAAACCATTAGCTAAAATAGACCAAACCAAATCCTTTAGGATGGAGTAGTTTATCTATTTAGTTTCCTGAGTTGATGTATGTAACATTTCATCATGGTCGTAGTCATAAATTCTCAATTAAACTTTCAAATTCTTCAAAGTTGACATTTAACCATTAGTATTTCTGGGCATATAATCATAAAGTTAATAATGAAGTGTAATTTAAATAAAGAGTAAAAGTATATTTCATGTTATACAATAAGATAATTTTAGAATAATAAGCAGCCAAAGTTAATAAAATTTGATACAAAAGTCAACAGAACTTTATTGTGGGATAGGGTGTGTATTTATTTAGGGACATGATCTACATTGTTTTAAAAGTTTAAAACAAAAACGAGCCACACACATCCACATTTTTACCTTAAACCATTGCACTTTTATTAATAAAATACAGTACACTATATGTCTATCTAATCGCAGTGAAGAAAACCATGTAAAGAAAAATTGTGTTCGCATACTATTCTTACCAATGTTTTTTAGTGAAACCATTGGCTTTTATTTGTTTTGATTAGGGATGGACTCCCGGTCCGGTCCCAGTTCCGGACCAGCCGGCCCCGGTCATTGAAACAACTGTTTAGCACTAATATGTTTATTATTTCTTCGTTGAGTTCGTTCAGTTCTAATGTTTATTCAGCAACATTTGTTCTAAAACCCCAATGACGGAACAGATGGGGTTTAGTGGGTATTATTACTAATTATCAGGATGACCCAAAATAACTGTAAACAAGCGTTTCATTTACTTTCTAACATCACGTTGTGACATCCTGTTTCAAAAGGTAATACTTTCATGGACGACTACAAACAAGCCCAGTTACATTCTACCGGTAAAATTGCAGAGGTTTAACTAAAAAAAAGTACATGGGGTTAACTATGTGTTTTCCTAAAGAAAAAAAGACTCAAGTTTTATGGAAGCGATAGACGGCCAAAGTGAATACGGCCAAAGTGAATACATGTTCCGAAAACAACGAAAAACCAAATGCATGAGGTCAGTTTGTACCATGCAATGTTATGTTGGCCAAAAAGCTACACATTATTAGCAAGAGAATGGTTCATTTCATCTAAATCCTAAAAGCAATATAAAGTCAAAGCATGGAGTTGCAAAACATGAGAAATTGTTGAGTTATTATTCCTTCTTTCCAATGCCATGTGACATATTGTAGATCCCTCTACCCTGAAACACAATTCCAAGAAAAGAGTATATCATTGTTATCATTAGTCAATATTCATAATAGAGGGGAGAAACGGAGAAGAAACAACAAGAATCAGAGCATGGAACTCACAATCATATAGATTGATGAAAATGCAAAAGCAAGCGGGATGGCAACCGAGGTTATCTTATCCAAGGGACCCTTCAAATGGGTGTGCCTTTGAATGTTCTGGAAATACCTCTGCTTCTCAGCAAGCTTCTCCCTAGGCCTGAAGGGTGTTTCAATCACCGACATGCTGCACCATTACATTCCTCAAAACTATCATTGATGAAACTTCTTCTTTCATCCCAGCACACATGTAGGGGGTGTTTGGCATACAATTTTGGTTTCCAAAATGCTATTTAAAACATTTTGGGCAAGATGCATATACTCAAGCATAATGATTATAGGAACACCAATTAATCATCATAAAAACATTCAATAAAAAACACTCTTTTCAGATCACAAGGCCACGTTTTCAAATTTCATACTAAAATATCCTCTAATACTAAGTTAACACTCAATGTTTAAACAATAACTTAAGTCTCAAGGGCTATTATGGAAAACCAATATGAATTACGCACATTAGGTGCATATGGAAACCTGTAAAATGACTTCCCAAATTCCATGGATTGATGAAAAACCTCTAGTGTAAGGGAAATAAATCTTCAAGCACATTGGAGCGGAAAACATTTTCCCGAAGTACGCAGAGACTTTAGTTTTGATCCTTTCTCTCTTGTCCATCTCTTCGACGCAAGCATACACGCACCACTCTCTCTGTTGCTACAGTATGAGTTCATCTTTTCGTCTTTTCGTTTTTATATTACATATTTTGGGTTAAAATATTCCAAGTACCACTCATGAAATTCTTGAACGGAGATGATACTCGGAATTACGGAGCTAATACATTTGTTTTGATACTTTTATTTTGTTTTAGAAAAGTTATAAATATGTGTCATAAAGATTGACATTGATGAAAGTGGAGAAAAACGCAGAAGCCTTTGGTG